TATAATGTGTAAGTGGTACATTTAATACAAAGATTGATGTATATGACATTGATGAAGTAACGTTATAAAATCATTTTAAATAAAAATAATATCTTTCTCGTGAAGGAAGAGGTTTTATTCACTCTTGACGAACTTTCGGTAGATTGTTCTAATATATATGTTCCTTACCAATGAACAAGATATGTGCTCAAAAGATTTTGATAATCTAGAGCTCTTCCTTCGTCAGCAAGTTTCTATAGAATGAATAACAAAGAGATATATTTCAAACATTTTCTGTCCTATCAGCTGGACATTGATTGCATCATTTTTTATATTTTTTCTTTTCTTTCTTTAATTTCTTATGTATTATATCCTCTTGTCCATTGCTCTCGTTTATACTGTCGGACCTATTGTCTTTTTTTCTCGTGTATACGTATATATGAATGCATATTAGTTGTTAAATTATATAAACTACTGGTATATGGATCATTTCTTTTCTATATTCTTTTTTTTTGAAAAGAATTAAATATGTGTAGTGAGAATTTTTTTTATGATTTATTAGTGATAAGTGTGTCACTCATGGTAATCAATAGTTTATCAAAAGATTGCAAAGCGAAAATAGAATAACCGTTTAGGTTACTAAAAATGAAATATTTTAATCAATTGCTTCCTTTATAAGTATCCCATTCTCCGACGATGCTACTTTGTCTGTAAAGAATAATTTTTTTGAAGCAGAGCATTCCATCACCTTCCCATGGATGATAAAAAATAAAATCATTGACATTGATATTATTTTTATCCGAGCTGCTTACAATAGATTGATTGGGCAATAGGTTTGTATAACCTGGATTATCTCCATCCCACCAATGATTTCTTTTCAATCCTACTGGGCTAATCAGTTCACCTGGCCATCCACCTCCAAGCATAAAGTAGGAAACTTTAAGATTTGGATCACTCAAATTGATTAAAGTTGTGAGTTTTTCTGCATGAGGTAGTCTAGATGTTTTAATCTTTTTCAGTACAGGCGAAGTCAAAAACAAGGACGGCTGATGACCCAGCTTGATTAGATCAGAAAAATGGTGCGGCGCCAGAAATCCTGAACCCATTGCGATGTCATTGACTGGAGTGTTACTGTTGTAGTGAGAATAATAGAAGTAAGTATGGCTTCCACCGCTATTGAAGGTCATAGTACTGATGGCTTTCGCATCATAATGTTTCTTCAGTTCATTCACAAATTGGCTATATAATTCTTGCACATTGACAAAAGATTTTTTAATAGACCTCTGTTTGTTAATATAAAAAGGCACATAAGGCACGTGCCCATCATATCCCATTAGCCCTGTCAGTTCAAAGTATTGACTGTTTTGTTTAATAATCTGTATCGCCTCAGCGAAGTCTTTGATAGTTTCAAAGCCACCTCTATGTAAGTCAATATCTATCTCTAAATTAATTTTTATCCGAAGATTTTCTTTTTGCACATACGACAGATATTGATTTAGCCGCTCCTTTGTATCGATCAACCAGTTAATGGTATTCCAGCCATTATAAACTGTCAGTCTAATAAAAGCATCAATCGGTAGTGGTTTACCTAACAATATATCAAGCGAGTCAGGATTCATATTGAATAAAATTTCAGCAATGAATGATTCAGAAAAAACCATCAATCTATTGGTTTGAGCTTTTATTATAAGATACTTCAACAAGTCTAGTGAAGGTAGTGATTTAGTAACCAGTCTTAGTTTGTAATCATCACCTAGTTTTCTTCGAATAAAATTTACATTCGAATCCAATCTGTCCAGATCAATTATTCCCGCACTGGCTCCACTGTGTTGTTCTTTTAATACTAGATTCAATTGAGCAAAGTAAGTCTGGTACTCCGTTTTGACTTTACGAAGTTTAATAATTATTAAATATATCACACGAGTACAAGCGACTGCACAAATAAGAAGTTTCAATCTTTTCATATCGCTGCTGCTTGTTATAGAGTGATGACGACTCAACCAGTCCATAAAGAAAGAAAAGATGTATTGTGATGTGTTTGAAACAAGTTAATTTTAACTTGTATGTTAACATTTAATAGATAACAAAATCTTATGTCAACAAAAGTAGTAAAAAATAGATATGTTATTTAACTGATACTCGTACCACCAAAAGTAAGAAAAGAAGATAATATATATTCATATATTTCAAGTAGTTGAATAACTTTCAAAAAACTTTTATTGATCTCCTTGAAGTGTGTTTTTAAACAAAAATCTTGTAAAGCACGTCTTGGTTTGATTACTAAGTACTTGATTATGATAAAGGAACATTTTGAGTCTCTATTTATAATATAAATAGTTGACGATGAATGTTATACCTAATGTTCTCATTTGAGTGAAGGATACACAGTCTGAAATAATTATATAATTAATCGAACGATGTTTTTGCCCTAGATCTTACGTATAAATTAAACATATCGATAAAAAAAGATCATACATGTTGATTGAATCATATTTTAAAGTAGTGTTTATCTAATCAAGAAAACTTATATTGAAAGATTTATATAATCAATTAAATGAAGTCTTTAGAAAGAATTCTGATAGGAAAATAGAATGTTTCAATACTCAACAATAATTTTTCTTGTCAATATATAATATTATCATCAAACGTATAATGAGCTTGTAAAGATTTCAAACTTCATTCGAAAAAAATCTTAAATATTTTCTTATTAGTTACCATTATACAAAGTCGTGACAGTATCTTTTTTTTGCTTTTGAGTAGCTAAGGCAGTGTATATCTATTCTTTTGAAATAAATGCAGTTTTTAAAAATGATTTGATAACTAAAATATTCTAGATTTAATAAATATCAAGGCATCATACTATAATCATAGTAATATATTTATTTTACGACACATCACAATTTATAAATCTTTATTGAAGTTAATGGAGATATTTCTAGCAGTAATTATTTTAATTTTATATCTTATGAGTACAAAATATGAAAAAGGCGTGACTTATAATATGAATATTTTTTTTCAATAAAATCATATAATAATCTTAAAGTTATTCTGAAAATATAAATAATTTTTTCTAAAAGGTACTATAAAATTAAACAATAAAAAATCTTCATTATATTATTTCTATGTGACAATTTTTAGAATACAATTAATTATGATACTTGAATAATTAACATAAAGATCTATTTTAAATGATTGAATTGAAAGAACACTTTGAGTCCTATGAATTAATTATATCAAGAGTATAATATAAAATGTTTTTCTTGTCTTTGAAATAGAATTCATCTTTAACAAAAAAAGTTCGGACTAGTTTATACTTTTGCTTATTTCTCTATCATCAGCTTCTGCGAATATCATCTTTCCTTTCTATAGAAGAAAGAAAAGAAAATCTTACCTTGAGATATAATGAAGGTAATTAGCGGTGGTAGATGTTCTGCAAGTACACATTTCTTACTAGGAGTTTTACAAGATATTTTTTTATTTCATATCTCTTTTTCGTTAGTCGGAAATACCAAAAAATTAAGATCACATGTCATATTAATTTTAAAAAATCTACTTTTAGCTTTGAAATAAAATATGCTATAAATTAGCTATCGATACTCTTTCAAATTCAACCTTCATTATATACTTTAATGAATAGTTCAGGCGGATATCATTATTAACTCTGTCGTACTTATTCGTTCTTTTAGAATGCGAGCAATGATGATATATCTGTTTTTTTGCATCGTCATTCTAACATTGTTGAACCCATATAAATAGATGGTGAAAAATATGTTTTTTTCACTATTAGAAATTGTAGGAGTTATTGATATTTTACGATTGTATTCGATAACTACTAAATCTTATATAGTTAAGTATTGTTAGGAAGTTTTTAAAATTCTTTTAAAATATGTAACAGAAAAAAAAGTAAGTGTCATTGTGCGCAAAGATTTTAATAACTCGCCTGTCATGATATTATAAAAGGCAGATACAGTTCTAGTATTTTCTTTTTCTTTTCCTTGAACTTGATGATCTCACATTATGCGCTTACTTTTTTTTTCTATATAAATGCGTTTTATTAATAGAAAAACATGTTTTTTTAAACTTCTACAATAAAAATTATTTTAGATTAATCTATAAAAAGAATAATTTCGATTAAATAAAATACAATGGGTACTTGGATCGGACATGTTTCAGCTGGTACGTTCAAACAAACTATTTTTTAGCTCTGAATTTAATTAATTCTCATTTAATTTAGGTATGTTTTTTATTTTATTTGCTATATGGTGGCATATAAATAATTGTATACGTTATTTAAAATCATTAACTAATGAAACCAATGAAAAACAACAAGTTAAATTTCGAGGTTCAACAACATATTCATGTAATTGTTTGCCAAGTAAAATTCTTCGTCAATTACCAATAGAAAGCATGCTCAAAATTCTTATAACATCAATACATTTCTCACTTGAAATTAGTACTGGCTATCGAAAAGATCCAATGCCTCATATAGAAGAAGAAAATGCTCATCATACAGCAATGTTATTTGGTTTTTTTCTTGGTTCATGGATTGAAATACTCGTTCATTTAAAAGTTCCATTACCAAAACGTACAACACAAGTCATGGGTTTTTTAGCATTTGCTATTGAAAGTGTCATGATGGTATTTCATTTACATGCTCGAAATGTAATGGATGCTCATATACATAAATTACTTGGTTTAACAATGATGTGTTCAATGATTAGTGCTTTAGGTGAATGTTTTAATCCAAATAATTTCTGGTTAATTATTACACGAATTTTTTTTGCATTAACACAAGGTACATGGTTTATTCAAGCGGCTTATGTTTTATGGCCACAAACAAATAATCCAATATTTATCTGGGATCCTCAATCTCATCGATCATTATCATTATTAACAATGTCATATGCATATCATTTAGCTGGTAATGCTTTTCTATTGATTATTAGTTATTTATTAGTTTATATGTCAACATCCTCTCGTCGAAAATTAATTCATTATGAAATTGATGATGATGAAATAATGTCGGATTATAAATTAATATCAAATATCAACGATGAAGACAATTGTATTTAGAAAAAAAAACTTGTTTGTGTTTAGCTTCTAATTAAAATAGATGCTTTGTGTAGTTTTAAACAGATATTGTCATTTGTTGTTGTGGTTACTTGTTTCAATAAAATAAATTTATTCGAGATGAAAATTATCTTTACATATCTATGTCAAGCGTTTCTAGCAATTGTTGCGATACAAAGTTAGTTATTTTTCTTTGCTATTGGTAATAATTTTTTGTGTAGATGTAGAAGAAGATTTATTACTCAATGGATTAGAATTTCCATCGTATATTTATATACCTATAGATAAATCTTATTTATTAGAATGTGATTCAAAGAATGTTGTATATTGGAAATTGTATTTAAATAATGGAAAAATAGAAATTATAAATGATAAAATGATTCATTTAAATGAATTTGATAGAAATCGTGATGGATTTTATCAATGTCATTCATATGATGATTCAACCAATTTTCGTAGTGTTTTTATTTTTTCAAATGGTAATTTATTTGATTTTGAATATTTTATTTATTATGTAATAATAGGAGCACGTTCTATTGATCGTCATTGGACAAAACTAACAGAATTTCATGATAATTTAATAACTACTTGTCGACCTATTTATTTTACTTATGGTTTTAATGAACAATTTATTGAATTAATTGACAGTAAACAAACTGTTCGTTATAATCGTAGTGCTCTACTTGTTAAACATATTCGAAGTACAACACATCTTTTCTGCAAATTATATATAGATACAACATCCGTTGGTGTACGCGTACAAACATTAATAAAAAAAAGTATTATTTTAATTCTCTTTTTTTGTTTTATGTTAAAAAATTATGATTCTATCTAGATTTCGGTGATCCACTTTTATCAGATAAATATTTGAAAGATAATGATTATTTCGAAATGAATACTAATGAACGAGATGTATATCGAATTGCATTTGAAGGTATTAAAAACTAAAAATTTTACATACGGAATATTTCCTCAAGATTAAGGATATTTTTTCAATAGTATTAATAAGTACATATATACATAAACTTTATAAACTTCTTTATTAATTATTCAAAATTTGTTAGAATGGTGGAAAATTTTAAAACAAAGATTTCAAAATATAACTCGGATTTCGTTTTTATTATAGCCTGAACGATCATAATATTGCTGACTGCAGATATATGAGTTACAAACAATAATAGTAACTTTGTATGGTAGCGATCCTCTATGTTTGTGCTGTAACTTGTAATTACTAGTATCCTTTGTGCTACATATTTTGTCAGATGTTTATATTCATTTACATAGATATGCATATATGCTCGAAAGAAATGCTAATTGTTTCTGAAAATCTAGAAATATTTTCATATTTTTGAGCATAAATAAAAAAAATGATCTATACTAGTATTACAATAATTAATTTTAAGAATAGCTAATCTAATTCATATAAAAACATTATATTAATTATAGATGATTCCATCTATTTGCATTGTCCATCGACAACAATGTTACCTATACAATGGTATTTTCTTTCGTATAATTACTATTTAATGAAAAATCTTCCGACGATATATGATACAGATACAAAAATTAATTCTGTCGAAATTACGGATGCTGGAATGTATATATGTCAAACAGAAAATACTATTCATCGAAGAATTATATTAACAATTCTTCGTAGGAATATTAGTTATTATTGGAAAGGTTATTTTAATATTATATTTTATTTAAGATCCACCAAAATCTCCTGATAATATTTATGTACAGACAATACATGTTAATTTAGATTCAAAATATTTACTTTGTTGTCATTTGGATGGTATTCCTTACCCAACATATTCATGGTCGATGAATACAGAATTTCAGAAAACATCATTTGTTTGGTGTACGAAACGTTGTTGTTGGTTACATGTAATCTATAAAAAATATGAAAATATTATTTGTACATCAGCTAATAAATTTGGAGTGACAAAATATAATATTCATTTGATTGTACAAGGTATAAAATAAAACGAAAATAATTTTTTGATAACGATTTATTTATTAGATATTGGTTTGAAAAGTACTGTATTTTATGATGAACCACACATTTATAATTATAATCATACGGATAATTTTAATCTTATTCGAAAAATTGAAGAAAATCCGACTACAAAGCCAATGGTTATAACTACAGATATGGAGTAAGATTTGAATTATTCAATTCGTTTATTTTATTTAAATATTTTATAGAACTCATTCATCGGAAATCAAGGTAAATATTAGAATAAAATATCTTCAATAAATATTTATCTTATTTATTATTTATTAGAAAAATGAGAAAATAGACGATGAAAAACTGATTCCAAACTAATGTATTCTCATCAAATGACTTTGAATAAATCGATTAATTAAGAAAATATAAAAAAATAAATTAACAATATTCAATCCCAAACAGTTCTGTGTCTTGATGAAGCTATACGAGCTAATTCAGCATCAATTATACGTTTACTAAATACATATGAATACGGTAGAGAATTTTGCTTAGCAACTCTTGGATGAATTGATGCATATCGATGTTTATTTGATGATACAGTTGGTTCTGATGCTAAACGTTCTTTCGGCTTCGGATATGATGGTATGAAATGATAATATTGTTTTTCAAGAGCGGTTGTATATTCTGGATAACTTGATGAATTGAACTTTCTTGTTCTTCGAGGCGTAACAATCGGAGGTAATATATTAGATGACATAAGTTCTTTGTTGATTACAGGCTCTTCATTATAGTATGCATGAGATTTTTCAATAGTCTCTTGCTTTTGAAGTAAATTATGTTTTCTTGTAAGTCGAGGAGAAACAGCTGGAGGTGACAGTTTAGGTGTAAGAATGTCTTCTCTAATTATAGGTTCTTCATTTTGATTTGAATAAGAATTTTTGAAAGCTTTTTGTTGAATTGGTGTAGAGGAAATTGTTTCTTTAATAATCATAGCTTTTTCATCTTGATGTGAATAATTATGTTGTTGGTGTTTCGAAAGTGAAGGTTTTGATGGAATGTTTTTTTGATTTTGTTTTGAATGATGATTATGTGTTGATGATACTTCTAGAGAATTTATTGTTGTTAATGATGATCTACGCTGATCATCTAGTTTTGTTGATGCTGCAGATGATGAAATATGATTTGTATGTCTACTTAATGTACTATCAAGTGATTGTGATGCTCTTGGACTATACTTAATTGATGTAATATCAGATTCATCCGTAGAAGTTTTATCTGAATATAGTTTAGCATGTAAACGTTGCCGTCTCTTTAAACGATCTTCTACTGTTTTTGTTTGCTTATTCGATGCATTGGTTGACATATTTCAATAAAAATAAAATTATCTATAGAAAAAAATATAAATAAAAACGTTTCTTTCACTTAAAAGGTAACAATTTAAGAAAGTACTCTTTTTTTCTCTTTTTACTATAAGAAGAAAATAATATATCTTCTATTTCTTCTTTTCAAGTCTATTTTTACTATTGAACTCGATGATATAATTCATTTTTAAAATAAAAATAAATTGATCTATAAAAAATAATAGATTACATAAATGAAGAGATGGTGCGTGAATCCATTTAATAATATGAATAGTGATGAGATGATGAAGTATAAAATGACTAAACACTATAGTGAATATAAGTGAATGAATGAACACATACAAGTTGTATTTTTTTTCTATTTTGACGGTTGAATACCAACTTATTCTTTTCTTTTCTTGATGATAATTGAACCAGAGAAGAGCGCATATGGAACAATTCTCGATGCACTACCACTTTTCTCCTTCTTCTTCTTCTTCTTCCTTACCATCTTCTTATTATGACGTGAGAGAAACTTAAGATGAAATCATTTTTTGTGAAAGGTAATATATGACATTGATTATAAACTTATGTTAGTTTAAATGAAAAAAAAGAGGTAAGTAAGTAAAAATAAATAAAACTTGTTAAAAAAATAGCCCATCATTTATTTTAAAAAAAGTTTCAAATAAAATAAAAGTTAGACATGTTTTACATGTCATTGACAATTCAAATGGATATAAATCACATCATTATTAAAGGTAAATGCAAGGATAAAAAAAGAACCTTTTACGCTTTGTTAAAATATTGTATGAAGACTTTAAAACTCGTTCATTCGAAATAACCTTCATCAATATATTCTAATATTTATATATATATATATATATACATTTATTATTCATCCAGAATAATATGATGATTATATTTATTAGTATGCTGAACAACAGTTTCATTTTTCTCATCTTGAGAGACTTATTGAGAATGCAAAGTACTTATTCGTGTAAGGTAACACATTCTATCATAGAATCATTGAACAAGACATATCCTTGAGCTGACGAATGATCACACATATATATACATCTAGTGAACATGTAAGAAGAATGCAAGTCTATTAGACACGCAGTGTAATGTTTGTTCTATGATAAACGTTACAATTTCTCTTTTTTTTTTTGATTATGTAATTCCTAACTCGCGCATATGTAAATATGGCTTTCGTCTCAATCAACATCTTATTTCTAGATATAGACATTAATCGATGTCTTACTATTGCTCATGTCATTAACATATATATTTATTTCCCTTCTAATATTTTCAATGTCGATTATTTGTTACGCAAATCATCGTTATCAACGACAACATTTACAAATTTATTGGAATTCATCGAATACACTTTTTCAATCATCAGGATATTTAACTGTTTATCTTGGTGATTTAATTGATTTTCTTTGTCCTTATTATGATAATGAATATACAAATTTAAATATTGAATATAATACAATTTATCTTGTTAATGAAAATGATTATTATCATTGTAATACAACAAATTATAATCCATTAATAAAATGTAATAAACCATTTGATCTACAACCATTAGTTTATACATTATCAATATCAAAATATCTACCCTATCCAAATATACCTGAATTTGCTGATGGACAATATTATTATTTTATATCAACATCAATGGGTCAATTAGAAAATATTGATCAACATCATAATGGTTTATGTTATACAAAAAATATGAAATTAATTCTTAATGTTCAAAAATATACTCGACATTATCATGAACAACAACGAAAAAAAACATCGAAACTTATAATAGCTAAACGAACAAATTTAACTTTTGTTGATCCTGATAAACGTACACTCTCATTTTCATCATTGTCTTCAATTACTAGTCAAAATTTTTATTATACTTTCACATTGCTTGTATTTTGTTTATTGACTAAATCAAGAAGTTAATTGATTGTTTGCGTGTGCGTGTGTGTGTGTGTGTTTCATGATTTCAATTTTAGTAGTAAAAGTAATATGATCTGATTAAATGCTCTTCAATAGACAACTGTTGAGAAGAAAGAAGAAAAGTGCTTTTAAGAGTTCGTCTTTCTATTTATCGTTGTTTTGATTCATTTCTCCAACTCATAAACACTTGATCATGAATTATTTTTCATTAATATTCCTATTAATTCTTATTCCTATTATTTCATGTAATTCAATATATTTTCATTCCGAAACTCGTTCAACACGCCTAGTTAATCGTACATTATTTGGTTCAACAACTGAATGTAGTATACGTTTAGGTGGAAAACAATTTACATTGAAATTTTATCGAATGATCACATGTCGTTATGTTGAAAATATTTCCACTATTTACCCATATTTATTAAAATATTCTCATGATATATCAACATTAGAAATAACAGATTCAACTATAAAAAATTTCAATATAAAACAATATGCAAAAGTATTTCGTAAATTTGAATTTTTAATATTTCATCGAACAACAATTGTAACAAAACAATTATGTCCATTTAATTCTTTATCAAAAAATTTATTATATTTACATTTAACACGTGTATCACCTAGTTTAGATAAATTATTTTCTAATTCAACATGTTTAATTATGAAACGTCTTCATGTTCTTATACTTGATCATACAGATTTAGGTAATGAAAATTTATTAATTGAAAAATTTCCTAATTTACATATATTACGTTTAAATTTTTCATCATTTAATCATCCATTAAATTATACATATATTCGATCGTTTTCTTATTTACAAGATTTTTTATTAAAAGTTAATGATGATTGTCATCGATGTGAATATGAATGGTTAAAATATGCAACACGAGATAATAAATATGTACTTTTTCATATTAGTACAAATTCTGGTTGTATGGATTGGAATAGAGATGGAAAATTTCTAAAATGGCAACATGCACCACTTTGTGGTACATGTTCATTACCATTAATTATTAATCGAATAAAAACAAATAATATTTGTATAATGGAAGATGGAATAACAGAACATTATTGTAAAGCTTTTTATGGACAACAAAGTTTATTTCAATTGTGGACAAATACATTTGATAATAAAACTAAATATATTACGCAATATCCTTCAACAAGAAGGCCAAAACAACAATTTATGAAATCAAGATATACAACTTCAATGGTTGAACGATATAAACGAGATATAAACAATACAGTATGTAGATAGAATAGATTACAAATTTTCTGTAAATTATCAGTGAACATGTACAAAACTCATCAAACTATTTTTTTTAATTCAAATAATTGTTTATATATGTAAATAAGTATAGATATTTTCAAGTACAAACTTGATTTAATTTTACACTTGACAATGTGACATATCGAAATATGTATTTGATTTATTTATACCAATAATCAAATCTTTTAACGATATGATCAATTTTGACATCTGATATAAATTTTCTACAAGTTTAAGTTTTGTATATGTCAGTTCATGATAGATTATTTATATTAAAAAATAAGGTCATCCATTTAAAAATCTTTTCATATCATTACAAGAAAGTTATAAAGTTTTTTTCCAGACTTAAATGCTTAGAAAAACTTGTAGACTAGTGTATTACGCTTTTTTTTATTTTTTTGGAGAAAACTAAAAGAATTTCATCAAAGATTTAATGTATAATTAGAAAGTTTTCTATCTAAAACTATATAGATTTTTTTTCATCTATATTTATAAAGTTTGCAACAACGACATTATCAGTTTTGATAACTAATCATTCAAATGTTATTTCTCCACCATCAATAACAAATATAACAAAATCACAAACAACAACAACAACAACATTATCTCATTGGCAATCTCGTCATCTTGTTACACGAAAACCAACTGATTTATTCAATAGATCTTATTGTAATCCAATTATAGATAATCCATATCGACCAAAAATTCGTTTCAATAGCCCATCATTAATTGATCAATTAATAAATATTTCTCATCAATATACACCAAATTGTTCGAATATTCAATGTAATATCCTTCAATCTGATTATCTCGGTCCAGTGTGTTTAAAAAATGGTTTAACATATGCAAATATATGTGAAATTATATTTTCATTATGTACAAAACAACTCGATCTATTTAATTTACAAATTGATTATTTTGGTTCATGTGTAAATAATTGTTCATTAATATCACGTTGTTTTTCCGATAATGAAATATGTATAATGACACCTAAACCACATTGTACGTCTCGTCAAAGAAATTGTACTGGTTTTTCACCTGTATGTGATACATATGGTAAAACATTTGTTAATCAATGTCATTTATCAAATTCGATAATATTAAATCAACCAAGACAATTAGCATATCGTGGTCCTTGTCGATTAAATCGACAATGTAAAAAAAAATTATGTCAACAAAATGAAATATGTGTTCAAACACAAGATAAATATCATTATCCTGCTTGTATTAATTGTCAATTAGAAGAACCAATGAAATATTGTCCATTTGAATTATTTTGTGGTGATAATAAAAGACAATATATTAATCGTTGTCAATTACATTATGAACGTTGTCAATCGAAAACATTGATTCAAATCGATTATTTTGGTTTATGTCGTACACATGATAATGAATATGATGATAAAATTTAAGATTTTTCTATTCATTTTAGACCGAAAATTCAGTGCTAGAACGGTTATGTCAAACAAAATATTTGTTGTTTAATATGTTATGATTAGATTTTCAATTTGTTTATCTGTAGTTTATGTATTCTATTCATTTTTTCTATTCTTGTCATATTAGAACTATTTTTCTTTTCAATATATTTCTTCAAAATTTATATACTATCGATTAAGAATAAATAAATATTTCTAGTCAAATTTTTCATCTCGTATTGAACAAGTAATGTTCATTTAGCATTATATCTGAAAAACAAAGTAAACACATGCATAATCATTGAAAATGATTTCTTTTTCATTTTATCTTCTATACTATTAGTATTATTCAAATATAGTCAATGTAAGTAATCAAAAAATCGATTACATTCGATTCTACAAAGTAATCAAAGTATAATTGTCATATAAGAATAGTACATTGTATTTTGATCAATTGAACTTGAACCAGCAGGTTTGTGTCAAATAAAATCAGTAAGGCTTATATATCATTTTTTTGGCTTTGATCAATATGAAAGCAAAAACTAACATTGTAAAATATGGTAATGAGTCTGACATTTTTCTTTTTTGTAATAAAAAAATGTAATCGCGTGTGAAGTGATAGATAAGAACGATGTAATATAGTATTTATTCACTTTTAATCAGCATTTTTCTAGAATATTATAAAGTTTCTTACTATGAAGTTATATTCGATTAAAAATTCTAATATATTCTTACGTGAGTAAAATAAAAATGCCCTGTGTCTAACATATACATAGATAATTATTCAGTTTTGTTTTATTAGTAAATACATAGACATGTCAGTATACTAGAAAAAATAGAAGTTATTTTTTAAATATTGACATCAAAGATCTATTTATTAAATATTTTGCTTGTGCTACGATACTGATTAAAAGAAAAGAAAGATTGATGTACAATGATTACGTGTGTCAGTAGCGATGACTTGTAGAAGTGAAGCGCTCTAATATATAATGAGAATACATTAATCATTGACGAACAAAACAAAACTATATAAGTGCAATGTTGTACAAGAAAAGGTACGGATATGTTATCAGTCAGTTGTTTTTTCCTCTAAAAAATCGATTTGATTATACTATCAACAACAGTGTATAAAATAGATTGATTCGGTAGACAATATTTAAGCCAATCTGAATAGTATAGCATGTCTTCTGTCATGATTTCTCTTGGGCTCTCTTAAATTCATAATATCTAAATGAAATATATATATTCGAAAACATCTCGGTAGTATAAAGCGATAGAATTATTTGCTTTTTAGAGTTTGTTTTATAGCATATTAGTAGTCAGGAATGTAAGTTTTTATTAAAACTACATTATTTAGTATGTTTCTACTTATATATGATTAGATCGATTTATTCATCTCTATTATATTCCTCTAGAATAATGAAAGAATTGAGTATAATTATACAGCACATTCAATCTATTGATTTCACAATAGTTTAAATATCATAAAAACACTTAGTTTTGAAAGTTTTATTGTATGAATGCATAATAAATTGCCTTATCTATGATGATGCATATAATAATTCTATCTTGGATTTAATTCTAACATGCTTTTAGGTAAGGTTAATAATACTTGTATTTATACGAGAATTGAACTGGCAGCCAACGATCTCTTTCTATATACTGTATAAATGAAATATTCTAGAACATGATTTTAGAAAATGTCACACGAGAGAGAAATGTAAAATGTAAAAAGGTTCAGAATATACTCAAACATCATATGGGAGGCTCTTTCTTTATCCAAGTCTTCTCTATGTTGTATCTAACGCGAATGTCTCAGAATAAAACAAAAGAAAAAAATCCATGTGTGTGATAAAGAAGATAAAAAATACAACAGAATATCAGTCAAAAACGATGCAGAGTGGTACACAAGGGTATGTGCGTCTTTCGATAACGCGTTAGATAATGACTCGTCAAATATTCATATAGTCATTGTATTATAGATTTTATCTAAAAGAACGCTACAATAAAACTTGAGAGAATTTTATATACATTATTACAGACGAAGTATTTCCACTATCTATTCATATAATAAAACCTTCGTCATTAATTATTTTACAAAATTTTGAATTACCGTAAGTAAATATATGTAAGAGTATTGTTTGATGATAAGCTTTCAATGTGCACATTGAAAGTGAATGTAATTTGATAATCTTTTGACGCATTAGAGATTGAATTATGCTGTTAGTTGTTAATTCAGATGCCTCATTGAATATCTGACAAATGATATTAACATATGTAAAAATATGAGATCATATAGTACTATTAGCAATTCTCAAAGGATAATTAAACAACGAATACTAATATATATATATTTTTATGATGGTATAAGCGTTATTACTATTTTTCACGTAATGATTTATTAAAGAATAAGTATCAATCGGTAAGTCTCATCTTATTGTATTTAGTAATAGAAAAATAGCGATACAGTTAAACATGGGAATAAAATAGGATTAGAATTTATAGGTCATACTATTCGTAGATTATTTATTTTTTAGTTATTCTTTCGATATATATTTTCTGACTTCTCTAGATATCAAGTACCTATTTATCGTTCTGTCTCGTATACATATTTGTGATACATCTCGAACGATAAATGAAGTTAATCAAAAATTAATAATCAGTTATTTCGAAGATTTTTTTTTTTGCTAACTATGTTCAAAAAATGAGCTCATTAGATATTTAAGAGAGCACCTATTAGAATACTGACTTTATTAGAAGAGAATCAGTGCAGACAAAAGCTTTAGGTTTGAGATTTGAAGGTCTCATCTCAGAAAGATAGTTCTTTTAAAAATTAGTCAGTTTTACTGTTATGTTCACATACTATTATCGAATATTCATTGAGTCCTTTGTGTACTAATGCTTCCTTTATTCTGAGAAACATCTTATTCGGAAGAAAAACAACGTAGCTCGTATATAGTTTATCTAACACAACTAATGATGAAAAACAATTAGTAACAAACTTCCGTACTATAATCAAAATTTGTTTACATAAGAAAGGAAAACACATACACACTGTACTCGTTAATAAATAATCATTCTATACGATAAGCTCCTCATTTCTCTACATGTCGATCAGATGATGTGAATATATTTGTCGAGAATGTTACATGTATTTCGACATAATCATTGGTACCATCACTGTGTAAGTTGCTATCTCACTGTGTATTTACAATAGGCTCACGCAAATGAACATAAATATTAAAATCAGAAAGATTCTGAATTTATGGATTCATTTTGAGTTTTAAGAACTACTAGTAAAATATAGAGAAACTGGATTATTGTAGTAATGAACTAAGATCTTGCATGATATTATTAGCAAAATACTTCGATTTAAAACGTTCTGAATTTTGAGAAAATACAAAAAAAACGCCAGAATCGGAAAAAATCAGAGTCAAGTTGCAAATTCATAATATCTGGCCACCCTGGCATAGAATAGAATGAATAGTTGATCAAGTTGATCATTATTGAAAACTTTTCACTAAATGACCGAAGAAACTATAGAGCTAAGTTTTACTTCTTCTACAAAAACGTTTATCAAAATTTATTATTGTCATGTCCTGATATTGATCAACGGAAACGAATTGATACATTGAATTTCTTGTATACATAGAGACAAATGGAGAAAATAACAAATCAAGAAGTATGAGGCATATAGAGAGAAGAGTAAATAGGCAGAACAACGTATATAAATGTATGTAGTGTGGTTAGAAACATACCATAAAACCCAGTGAAAAATTACCATGAAAAATAACGAAAGTAAACGTATTCATCAAAATACGGAAACTTGTCTCTTATTTGTAGAAAGCGTTCTATAGTTTAGTAAATGCATTCGTCAACAAAAAGAATTTTTCTGAGTTTAGAAGAACCTATCCTTTGCCGTGCTATATTATTACAGAATGCTTCCTTCCTGATTCGAAAACTGTTCTACATCTAGAAAGATAGCATTTTATTAAAACAAGATCACATTCTTTGACGTTCTAGACAGATACATCTGAGAATAGATTCGTCGCCGTTCTCTAAATTGTGGAACACTTTTCTTTTCTTAAAAAAAGCTGATTTTATTTTTCGAACGTTTTCTATACCGTTCTATTCAATGATTATTTTTTACTGGGAAATCTTTTAGTTACGTTCTTAATATCTATTATGAATACAAGAAGGAGTGTCCTAATTCGATTTAAACATACTTTCAGTTTTAATATCTAGTCTGAGATAAATCTACTGACAGTGCAAGATAGACAGTATTTTCTAATACAATCATGATTTCATGATTCTGATAAAAAAGAAATGAATAGTAGATTATATTAAAACTGTGGAAATGATGCGTAACTATGGTCTTGTGCCTGACAATATCCGTATATTTATATTTCAATAGGGAAACGTACTAGAATATAATAGACAAATATTGAAAGTGTAGAAAAAAAACTCCATTTTACATTTGCTTTTTTTTTTATTCTTTCTTCTATTCAAATATTTAACTTTAAATTTGTATGATGTACAAATGTGGCCAATATTCTTTTAGTATTATATTTCAAACTTTTGACAATTATTACATGAAATCATGATAAGAATGAATAATAGATATCAAAGCAGATAGAAAGAAAGAAAAAAGAAACAGATGGTTTTGAAAATATCTATTACATCTTTCGTTTTACACATCGTAGCATAAGCACCTGCAGTTTCTTATTTTTCATCATTCATATTTATAATTGTAGCACGCAATATTGATCGAAAGCTTACGATAAAATAATAAATATATGAATAAGACGTCAAATATGAGGTAGTCCAAAAAACACACACTCGAGAAAAAAACTGAATATCTATACTACGACTCAACCAATCAAAGTGATTTTTTTATCAAACATAGAGTCATGTTCACACTTAAAATCCATACGAATACAGTCAGTGAGAACCTTTGATAAGTATCACCTATTGATCTCAATAAGAAAATTTTACTGTTTTAAGAGTAGGAAAAAAGCACTATACTTTACAAAAGGTTCTCATTAACTTAATTCGTATGGGTTTTGAGTAGAAACATTCATCTATACTTAGTATTAGGTGCGTGACTTTTAGACCACGATGTATTTCACGTTGTAATGTTATATAATTTATTCTGTTATTTACTTCTAATTATAGTATCTATTAACTTTATACTTCATTGTCATGTACGGTTTTTTTTTAGTTTTGATGATCTATTAATTTTCTTATTCATATACATCCCTATTACAGCGAAACTGGCAGCAAGATTGACTTTTACACAAGGCTGCTAACAAAGAGTACAGAGAAGAAAGGTAAGACAAAGAAAAATTTTGATAAATAGAACTCATTACTTTTGAAAAAGACAAGAAGATAGTAGGTCTAACAAACATGCACATTATCTAAAGTAAAATGTCAAAAAAAGCACTGTTATCTTCCCTCACATTCACTTCGGCATTTTTACTTCAGTTATTTATAGAATATTTTACTAATACTATATCTGATCTTTTATCATTTTCTGGTCAAATTTTTCGAAAATAAATATACCAAAAACTGCACTATAAGTAGAGCTTTGATATAATAAAAATTCAATTTTTAATCTTTAGCTGAGATAAAACATTTCTTCGTGATACTGAAAACTGATGATTATAAATTGATCCTATTTGTTTTAGAGTTTGATCCGTATCTAATAAGAGATAACACTGAAAGAATTATAGAAATAGACAATTTTGAAGAAGAAAAATGAACTGTTTCGGACAATTAAATAATAAAGAAGTACATTTCAGAGCATGATGAGAGCTGAAAAATAGGAGTGCTACATTACTTTTGCTTAACTTTCAGCTGTAAAATATTTGTTAGAAGAAAATAATGCCTAACTTTTTCTTTTAATTATCTCGAAATGTAAGAAAAAAAGGAAGTTGTTATTCAAGTTTGTCTTTTTGCGACACGTCCTGAATCTAATACAAAAGATCAGACATGGTATGAGAGGATTATATTAAATTTTAACTACTCATGTTTTTTTAATATACTTTTTAGTCAAGAGCACTTTCATTTTTCTAGTTGACTACTGCAATACAGAAAAAAAATGCCCGCATGACGATATACAGTGAAAGTGGAATGAAGCATAAAATGAAAGTTAAGCTTCAGAATTGTTCTTATTACTTTCATAAATTATTACTGTTTACTTTACTTGATTACTCATTACTTATTTCTAGCAGTAGTAAAGTAATGTAGTATCTCTATTGAAAAAATAGAAGGTCTGTCATTTTGTTACTGATAGTGTAGAATAAACTGATATAATGGTTTTTATAATACTTTTTGAACACGATCATTAAATTTTAAATTAGAATTTATCTCGCAGCCGACGGACGTTTTGTTAATATACTATTATATATTCTTTGTATTATTAATTTTATTTCTAACTATACTATAGAAAAAGGCACGTTTATCAGATGTCAATAAACTTATAGCTCTCTTGCTATTCAATCATGTCATTTCTTTCGTTTCCGTTTCCTTATTTCTAGATTTGCTCTTTATTTCTACGATGTTATTTTTCCTAATATATTCAAAAATTATTGATTATATATTTCTCATGAGGTTTTGTTTTTACGTATATTCAAATGACTCAGCGTTTTTAACTATTGATAGTTTATAATATCGATTGGTTTTTTTTAATATACGATCGAATAGGAGAATAAATCAATAGAAGATTGTTTTGAAATCGGATCCATATAATAAAATTCTCGCCAAACTATATAACATCACTAATGTAGAAAACAAGTATATATTTTCTTTTACGTTGTTTGAAATAATACTACCAACAGGTGTTAGATGCTTAAATATTAATATTAGTGAGTAAATCCTTTATTCTTCTCAAATAAAAGGAATCAGACATTAGCAAATAGTTTGTGCATATTCTGTCAATGGTTTTTTTTCTATTCTATAGAATAAATTCTTATCAATGCAAGGTTCTTTATGTTATTAGTTGTAGAACAGAATCATATGCAATAATAATTCCATATGAACGACTCAATTTAATACTTAGTGAAGCGAACAGAAATAAAACGACAAGAATTGAGATATCAAGAACAAGAAAAAAAAGCGTCGACTCGTTTTTTTCTCCAGCTGTGGAGTAGTTTAATGTCTTTCTCATACCACAAATCACCTATTCGACTTTGGTGGCGCCGACAGCAACTATTTCGTTATCGACGAATATCTTTCATATGGTTTATATTTGTATTTATTTGTATTCTTATTGTACCGAATCCATTTTCTGCTGAATATAGTCGAATTGCTATTAATCAAGATATACAATGGAATAGTATCAATGAAACATTACAAATTAAAGAACAAGTAGATTGCAAAGAAAATTTCCTTTTCAAATTCTTGTTTTTTTTACATAGATTCTTCAAAATGAAATAATATCAGATAATAGTAAAGTTGTTAAACGTGGAATTATTGAAGAACAGTCTACGTCTCCTATTTTAATTGTTCTTTTTACAACAATTTTTCGTGATAAAAAATTTTGTTCATTTTCTATCGAACGTATTTTTGGTAAAACTTGTCCATCAAAAAATCGTTGTCAATGGTCATGTGATCATGAAAAATTTCGCGAAGCTGATGCATTAATATTTCATGCTTATGATATTCCATTATCTCGAGCTCCAATGCCGAATCGTTCGGAAACTAAACCAAATTCAGTTTGGATTTTATGGTCAGATGAACCTCCAACAATAATTAATTATGGTTTACTTAAATCTTATCATTTCAATTGGACAATAAGTTATAAATTAAATAGTGAAATATCTATTGGATCGTATGGTTTATTTAGTAGACGAATTCATCCATTATCAGATAATACATATCAAGATTGGATAGAAAAAGAATATTATAATCGAACAAATGGTGCATTATGGTTTGTTTCAAATTGTCATTCAAAAAAACGTTTAGAAATATTTTATAAATTAAAATATGCATCGAATTTATTAAATGAAGGTTATGGTCGTTGTGTAGATTATTATCCGATACATTTATGTAGTTCATTTAGTCAATGTGAATATAATTATATGTCAAAATTTAAATTTTATCTAAGTTTTGAATCAAATACATGTCGAGATTATATAACAGAAAAGTTTTATAAAGCATTCTATTATGGTGTTATACCGATTGTATATGGACCAAAAAGAAATGATTATGAACGTTTAGCACCAAAGAATTCTTTTATACATATTGATGATTTTCATGATGATATAGATAAACTTGCTGATTACATGAAAGAAATTCATTCGAATTTAACTTTATTTTCAATGTATCATCAATGGAGAAAAAATTATGAGGTTATTATTGATGGAAAAGCATTAGAACGTATACGAATGTGTGAATTATGTCAACGGTTAAGTAATTTGCGAAAAGATGATATGATCTATTATGAAAATATTGAGAATTTCTATAATGATGGATGTCGGTGATAAATTTTTTGTCTAGTATGTTGATTTTATTACATTGTTATTAATTTTATATTATAAAAATAAACTATTATTGAGAATAAGACAAAATAGAATCATAGCCATTCTTGTGAAAAAATACGAGCACGAGTCAAAATTCAATCAATAAATATTGGACTGTCCCATATAAGTGACTTGACAATCTCACTAGAATATTAACTCGTATATGAATTTTTAAGGAAATAAGAAGGTAATGCTTTTTCTTCCGCAATAATGGATAAATACTACAAAAGTGCATTTTTTCTAGGTTATGAAACAAGTAACGCTCGTCCGAGGACTCGCTTAGCTCTTTCTCGTAGAAATACATTTTCTTCACAATTACTGAAAAAACGAATGAAAACCGTGAAAAAATGATTTTCGATGTTTTTTTGACCCTGCGGACACACAAGTAGGCAATTTATGTTTACTGGAGTCTTCTCTACGAGAAAGAGAATAATGTATTGGTGGTTCTTTAGAGACTGGTTGTAATTAGTTTTTAATAACTAAGAAATTGAAAAGAAGTGGCACAATCAACAAATCATTAGAGTCAATTGAATAATAATTTTGTAAATGTTAAATCGATTGGAAGCAACCTAAATCTAATTGTATCCTATTCTTTAACGGCATCTTGCTTTTTTTACTAATGTCGAATTACAAATAATTGCAGGAAAAAAATAAGATTTATTCAGTATATAATATAAGAATTAGAAAATAAAAATAATCAATCTATGTAACTATTTCATGATATAAGATCAGTTTCAATCATTTCACTTAAACGAATTTCATCAAGTGAACCTAAACCATCATATAAACGTTTGAGATTATTTGATGATAATTCATTGTCTTCGACTATTTCGATAAGTTTTGAATTTTCATGTGTTTGTTGAAATACGATCTTTGAAGGCGATGGTGTTGATGATGGATGAAGACGATCATTAAATGATGGAATTGAATATCGACCAATACCTACTGAGTCTGGCCAATATAATTGTTTCATCTGAATTTTATTTAATAAACATAAACTAACAGCACGTGCAATACATTCCGGTCGTGATACACTGAAATTCTTATTCTATATAGATTTATTTGTATTATATTCGATTAACTTACGTATGATTTCTCATAGAATTTATACTAGTTTCATCGTCACCTTCCAGTAAAGGATCGTCATCATGTGTTTCTTCAGTTTCATCATTGGGTGCAACAAGACGTTCAAGTTCTAACGTTCCGACATCTGAAAAATCAATTTTATATTAATTTTAATTATTTAATCAAAAGATTTTACTCGAAGGATTATTTTTTCCAGTTTGTAAATTAGTCAATTCCTTTAATAAACGATCTACTGTTTCTTCTTGCTAAATTTAATAAAATATTTTCTAATATCTAAATTTTTTATTTCAAATACCATAGATAAAACAAATTTTAAATGTTGATTATCTTCTAAAGCTGTATTGTAATTTTGTACTGTAACTGCAGCACGATGATGATTTCTTTCAAGAAAACGACTTGTTACTCTCGGTTGTCGTTTTCTTGAATGTGGATCACGATAAACTTCAATAATCTAAATAGAAAATATTTAGAAATTTCGATTAAAAACGAAAAAATCTTACTTTTGGTACAAATACTAAACATACAGTTGCTGTTGTACAAATAACAATAAAAAATGATCGAATAAAATATGAAAATTGAATTTGTTCATTTGGTATAAATATAACTAATGAACCGAGTGTACAACAAATAAATACAATATATACACTTAAACCAATGTAACGTGAATCATTCAATGCTGGAATTGTTACATGACGAGTTTTCCATGAAAGAAATGAACCAAAAAACTAATCACTTTTTTTCTCTTAGAAAAATTTCGAATACAAAAAAAATTTTTTTTTCTCTTACCATTAATAAACCTTTGTATATGATTAAAATAACAACCCATAAGCTCATATTTTTACTTTTACATTCTTCACGATATGGAATTATTTCTATATCATGATTATCCTTTTCAAAGACAAAAGGTCAAATAAATTATTTATAAAGATAGTTTTACCTTTAATCTTGAAGGTGTATCATAAACGCGTTTTTGATGAATTGGATCAAATATTTGCCAAGAAATAAGAAATATTAAATCAACAAATAAAAGAATACCAACTATGGCAAGTAAACGAGAATCATGAATACCCTAATGGATAATTATATTACTCTTCAAGTTCAATTAAATATTTCTCTACCTTTTTTGTTGTATTTATATTTGTAAATATTGAATGTACTCGCCAAGTTTTACTAAACATTGAACCAAAAGCTAATGTAAAACTAATACATAATATCCAAACTCGAATCTAAATAAATAATTGAAATTGTCTTCTTTTTTCAATTATTTAAAACTAACCGGACAAATAATATTCATAATTATTTCTCTATAAGATTTTTTAATAAATAAAGATGAATTAATACCCATTACAATTATACTCATATAAGCTAACATACACCCACATAATATAAGATTATTTAATGCTGGACTTGACATACGAATAAATCTGTGTGATTGAAAATGTATATTAAAAGCAAGAAAAGTACATGAAATAAATAATCCTATTCCACTACATATTGATATAGATATAAATACTGAAATATAAATATGTTGAAATTCAATTGTTTGATTTGTTCGATCTCGTGGTGGACCATTTCCTTAATAGACAATATATATATTCGTATGAAATTATAGTTTAATTATGTAAACAAACCATGCCACATAATTGGATTAAGTTTATATAAAATTGGTGGATCAATTTTTGATTCGGAATTTTTAGCAAGAAAAACTTTCACAACAGTTAAATTACAATCATCTTCTTCTTCATAACATGGACTTATACATGTACCATCAGTCATCATTCGACAAGCTAAATTTTATTTATTAAATTTTGCTTTTCTTTTTAATTTTTCTTACCAACAAATTGTTCAACAAGTATTTCACCTATTCTTCCACCATTTAAATATCTTACTCTTCCCTAAAATTTAATAATATGAACAAAACAAATTCGTTTGTTTTTTTTCTCATTTACATACAGTAGCACCAATAAAATCAATAGTTTCAAGATGTTTTTTAAATATTTCAATATTTGATTGATTATGTAATGATTGTATTTGATAAAGATATGCTAAACTCCATATTGTATCATATGCATAAGCATCAAAATATGTTTTGTTTATTTCAGAATATATTTTTAAATATTCCAAAACATTATCGGATCGATTCTAAATACATATATATGTTTTTTGTTGTTTTCTTAGTCCATGGATATACTTTCTTACTTGATCAGTATCAATAGAAAAACGTGGTACACGTGTTTGTAATGTCCCATTAATTGCTCGAATTAATTCTTGTTTCGAACAATTTGTTGGTTCATACCACCAATCTGATAAAGATGGAAAACCAAGTATAATCCATTGATAACGAGATCCATATATATGTTCACGAGCTGCCTAACTTTTGAGAAAAATGATAAAATATTTTCATTCAATTAAATCAAATACATACGTGACAAAACATTTGTGTAGCAATTGTTTGATTAAAATTAGCAATAATTATTCGAACATCTCGAGTCTTTAAAAAAAATTCAATTTTTTCTTTCAAAAAAAAAATTTCTTTTTTACTTTAAAATCTGTTAATAATCCTTTCATATATCTTGCATTATCTTTTTGCCATTCGGGTCCATGACGGTAAGCGAGTCCACGTGTTAAATTAACTTCAAATTGTGTTTTATCCATAGCAACTAAATTTGACAAATCATTTGCTACCTAAAAAACGAGATGTCAATTTCAATAAAGATTTCTTTTAAATTTAATTAGGACAATGTCATATATGGCAGAAATAATTCGTTAAATTGTAAAATATATTTTAATGGACATCACACTTCGATCTGCTAAAATATCATTAAAATATAAAAGAGAATAAGATTATCTATCAGTTTTATAATTACTTTCGAATTATACTCACAAGGGACACATAGTAAAATCGGATTAATAGGTTTAGATACAGAGATTATTCTGTTTTGTTTGAAATAGAAATAAGCTAATCTTGTTTATATGAAACTTGCTAATAGACTGTTAAACTTTTCCTGAATAGTATTATTTTTAGAAAGATTGCTTATCTTTTTTTCTGACCCTAGAAATTTCTTAAGTTACTAACCAATGTATATTTCGATCCATGTTGATAAATCAAACCAAATCGTGTCCAATTAAAATAGTGTAATAATTGTGTACGTACTCTATTATGTGAATGATCCGATGGTACAATATGATAAAAATATGGATAACGATCTTTTGTTAATAATGATAGATCACTGTCAGTAAATGATATCTAAATCAAATAAGGAACTTTTTTTTATTATATTTATGATTATTTTTAAAAAAATATACAATAGGTAATTTAAAATAAGTCGCCGTTTCTGATATATAAGTAAGTACATTTTGACAAGCATCAGTAAATAAAACATTTAATGATGGAGATTGATTAAGCATATCAAAAAATGTTTTTATACCGATACCAACATCACACTAGAATAAATAAATTTTTACGCATGAAAATATATTAATTAAATAAAAATTAGTTACTTTAATCATTCCTTCTGTTTCGTTGAAATAAAATTGTCGATCTATCTGAGATAATAATTGTGTATTAACCTGTTCAAGAGCAATTTGGATTGATGGATAATTTGAATTTGTAAATAAATTATTGAGAACAATACGTTGTCGATAATCATTGGCAAGAATAGGAGAGAATAACATAATAATACAAACAAATAATCGAAATGATTTGGTGCCCATTCATTGCAATTCAACTCATTTATCTATTTCAAAAAAGTATTGATGTAAAAATATATTTAACTAAACTGATTTGAGAATTTTCTGCTTGCTCAAACGTAACAAATATAGAAAAGTGAATCAAATAGAATATAGAAGTATCTTCTTTTCTTTTACATCGGAATATTTTATTCATAGCATTGTTATCTAATCAGCTCATTCGTTTTATGTCTAGTTAATCTTCTTTTTTTTTCTCCTATTCTCTGAAAAAAAAACATCTCGTTGTTTTTTCTATACAATATAATCAATCAATCATGAATGAAACAAAAAGCATTAAAGCGGAACGATATCGTAAATGTACTATGTCTCAACCATTAACTCATCAGTAGGAGAGAGAAGAAAAAAATGAAGAAAATAAACGACTTCCTCTAATATTACTTAGGTTTTTTTTTGTCGGTTTATCTTACTGATCATTGATGACATAGTTACACACACACATTTATATTTTGTGCTTTTTTTCAAGAATAGCCGTCGGTGATATGTTAAAATAAGGAAAGAATATAAAAACATTTTAATAAAGAAGAAAGACTAAAAGTTGATAAGGAGAAGAACGAGGAGAAGAAGAAGAAAACTGCGTGAGCTGTCAAAGACAACACGTCACTTGCCAGGACTAATTGTATCTTTATTAAGTGAACGTCTCATCACCATCCTTGAATTACACAAATCCTATGAAATATGAGTTGTGACTCGTTTTCTGTACGTGATTCCTCGTATAGATAGTTACTGTCATTGTCTTAGACATTTTAACGTGTTAATACTTAGGAAAATATAATAAAATCAATAGATATGTTCATTGAATCATATTAGCAAAAACAAAAAAGACTACCGAAAATAATCAATGATTAGAGGATATAGTTAAAAATAGGAAGAATTTCGGAACGCTATGACATTATATTATCAATAAGTTTCAATAGATAAGAAAGAAGAGGAGGAAGAAACCAACCTTGCTAACTAACTCAACATACACATGTATTAGATCTTTTCTGTCTCTTTCTATTATAGTGATGAGTTGCTTCGCTAGTAAATGTATATACATGAAAGAGAAATACTGTTATTATGAATGCGAAAGAAAAAGAAAATCTGATGAGATCTATGAAAGAATGGCAAGTAGACTATGTTGAGTGTCCTCTTTTTCTTTTCGATGATATAAAAATGTCTCTTTAAATGTATATTCTCTTGTAAATATTCAAAAGAAGAAATCATGGTCATTGCTTTGATCATTTTATGAATAGCTTATTTAGATAAATACATATATATATCGATTTGGTTTCTTGTGCATAGAAACATTTTCTAATGATAATAATAATAAGAAGAAAAGAAATAAATAGTTTCATTTGTAATATGATAATAAGATACAATGGAATGCCATGATTAGATGGATGATCAATCTTCTGGTTGTTAGAAAATATTTATTTTTTTGCTTAATCAAAATTGTAAAGTAATTGAAAATAGGATGCATTAGAAAAACAAGATTACTATTATATATATATTCATTACAATCAACAATAGTTTGTAATTGTTTTTTTATAAGAGGTTTCAATTGCAAAAAAAAGAGTTGAGGTACCTTTTATTAAAATCAATTTAAATATGAATTGTCGAGATTTATCGTTTAAATAGAAGCCTATATATATATTATTTGATTTCATGATCTTTTCCATATATTTACCTATGAATGATTGCATGTTCTTAAATACATTGGAACGAACTTTTTTTTCCATATTATCTATGCGTTCTATTCTTCCTAATAATGAACTCGACCTTAGCAATGTTAGAAAATCTATAATTATGTACTAATATACTGTGTATTGGAGCAACATGATTATTAAGTGTATTATAAAAGAAAAAAAAAGTCATGTTCTTGAAAGAAAAGATGACTTGTTTTTCTAATAAAAGAAAAAGGTACTTTTCTTAAAAACAAATTATATCTTTGGAGATCCGATTATGCTAATAATACTAGAGCATCAAATGACAATGCCGTTGACAGTAGTTTATTAAAAAATCTGTTCTATGTCTCGTTATGTATATATATATTTTAAATAAAGAACAGATGTCGCTTATCTTCAATAATTGTATTATAAACGAGAAATTTGAAATGAAAAATTTGAAATAATTTATTTTATTTTATTTTAATTTTAATTATTTAAATTTTTCGTTTTTCAAAAATCCATAAATTATTATTTGGAATTTGACTTCATTGAAAGTCATTTGAATGAATATTTGCTTTAACATTTCTGGTCTTTTTACAGTTCCGCTTCATTGATCGAACATTTTGTTATTGTTGTTTTAGATGGATGATAATACTGTTCGTTCACGTCAAAAAAAGACAACAAATGAAAGTAAAGATCAAATTTTAGATCAGGAAAAAGAAGAAAAGATGCTTCTGAAAAATCGCAAACAAGTTGCAGATAATTATGATTTTGGTGATATACAAAAACTTCCAGCTAATATTCGAGATATAATGGAGAAAAGATTTTTACGTTTGATTGCTTGGGAATTATATTTCGGTTATATTTTTTGGACAATTTTTTTTGGTATTGGTCCAATGGTTATGTTTTTTCCAATGGTTAAATTAGCTATTGATGGTTATGAAGTCTTAATACTTTCATTAGCAAGTCCAATTATACTTACTTCTTCATTTGTTAATAATATTGCAGAAGTTTGTGTTTAAATTATTGTTTGAGAATGATTTTCTATATATTTTTCTATAGACTACTGTTGGGAAATTACTTACTCGTTTAATTGTAATTATTAGTTTATTATCATTTCAATTGGAAAATCCTGTAATTCGATTGTTAATACTTGCATTCGGAACTTGTGCAGTAATGATTGATCTTTGTACAAGTCTTAATTCTCGATATCATTCATATAGGTGAATAATTTATTTAGATTGAAAAAAAAAAATTTTTTTTTACAAATATTTAGATCAATTGTTGTTTGGACATTAACAATCAGTTTATTTTTCTTTCTCAGTCTTCGTGTTTGTTTTTCAAGTATTATGCCAGCTTGGTCAGGTTTTATTGCAAATTTAGTACATGTTCTCATTGGATTTGTAGTAATTTTTGATCAATTTGGACGAGGTAAGGAAATAAAATTATGAGTTTGTCCTAAAGGCATTGATCATTTCCCTAAGGAAATGTTTGAAAATGAACTAATCAGTTAAGACGAAGAAGATCGGTTGACAGAGCATATAATCAACGGTGTCTATCATTCTCTTTCAGAGATTATTATTGATATGAAAAATAACGCTGGGAACAAAGATGCCAGACATTCCGGAATCTTTCCGGTTTCCGGGTTTTTCCGGATTTCAGCTATTTTCGTCCCTAAAATTTCGACTGTCTTTCTTTTATTACAGATAGTAAAATAAATGATAGTTTGTAGTACTCGATTAAACAAGAAAAAAAAGGAAAGAAGGAGGCGGAGAGTTCCGGTCCAAATTGATAACTGAATTTGTGAAGATATACCAATGTACTGATATTTTTATATAGATAATACTATGTGGCAATTACTTCCACCATTATCGCTAGCTTCAATTACATCAATGTCTACACATGGTATACTATTTTATTTCTTTAATTCGATTACCTTTTCTTTTCTTTCGATTATTAGGAAGTAATTCATTACGTTCATCCTCGCGTGATAATAATGTACAACCACATTGGTTATTACTTGGTATTGGATTTGGCAGTTTGTTATTTAATCTTCAATGGGTATTTGGTGATTTATCGGTAATTAGTCGTTGGGCATCGAATGGTTTTCCTGATCAAGCACCTGAACCAATTCCTTACGGGTAAATCAGACAAAATTTTATATAATAAAAATAAAGTTATTTCGTTTCGTAGATTACTCGTTTGGATTTGTTTATTTTGTGGTGTCGTAACTATCAATCGTCTTAGTATAGTAACTAATCGATGGTGGGCATCTGTAGGATTTATTGGTTATGGTATATTATATTTCAATCGTGGAAATGCTTCATTTATTGGTAAATAAAAAGATTTTCAATTGATTTATTTAAAATATTTTATTTCTATTTTATTGAAAAGGTGGCCTTGCTTTGAGTTTATTTATTGGATCAGTTATTCCATTAATATTTGATAAAATTGCTCGCGGTCTTCAAGCTCGTATTGTTGTAACTGCTGCATTCGTGTATATTATTCAAGTTGTGTATGCTGTTTGGACAAGTGCCTATAATTTTGTTCCATTTGGTGGAACATTAACACGTGAAACATCTCATGTTTTAGTATTCTTTAATTTCCTCGGTATTTATTTTGGTGTTTATACAGCTAGTAAGATAATTCTATTTACTATAATCTTTATTTTAAAGAATAATGCTGTTTTTTAGAACCAAATTTAGGAACATATATACGTGGTCGTGTTTCATCCATAAGTTTACCAAGTCGTCATATATGGACATGTAAGAATGTCTAAAAAGTTGATTCTTATGAAGTCAAAAAACAAGTTTCTATATTTTAGTATTTGGTATTGCTTTCATGATTGCTTGTGTTGGTACATTTTCACGTTTTCTTGCGTTACCATCAAAAGCATTACGACAAGCAGAAGATGTTTGTATTATTTTTCTTTTCCTGAAAATTTTATTTGTTTGCATATTAATTAGCCAACACATATTTCTGCTGCTATTTGGACAGTTCATTTCGGTTATGACAATAATGCGCATCCAAGTCTTGATCGTGTTGCAGCTGCTCTTGCTGATACTAGTTAGTACAAAGTTCATGATTATATTTTTTATGTAATTTAAATGTTTAGATGCTGATGTGATTGGTCTTCTGGAAACTGATACAGCTAAACCATTCTTTGGAAATACGGATTTAACATCGTATTTAGGAGAAAAATTACATATGTTTACAGATTTTGGTCCTTCATCAAAAGATCATACTTGGGGGTATAATTGATTTTTATAAATACTAAAAAAATAAATCTGTATTATTTAGATGTATTATTCTTTCAAAATATCCAATTGTTCGATCTGTTCACTATTTATTACCATCACCCGAAGGTAAATATTTGTAAACAATAATTAAATAAATAAATCTATGAATGAAATTAGGTGAACTAGCACCAGCTATTCTTGCAACAGTTCAAACAGCAAGCAAATTAATTGATGTACTTATTGTTCATATGGGTAATGATCGAGATGATTTAGATAGAAAATTACAAGCAGCAAAATTACGAGATATTATGCAAAATAGGTTTGTTTTGTTTTCTCATAAAAATCAAAATAAAATGTTTGTTTTTCTTAATAGTACTAATCCATTAGTATTTCTTGGTTATGTTACATCGGCACCATTTAGTCGAGATTATCAAATGTTAACTTCAGTTGCAAATGATATTGATTCAACAGATAGAGATCGTTGGTGTGAATATATTTTATATAAAAATTTAATTCGGTAATAATAAATTTTATTTAATTTATGAATATTAAATGGAGGAGAATTTTTTAGTGTTGGTTATGCACGAATTACACATGCTGGTTTAACAGATACAGAAATTCAAATGGCAAAATTTAAAATACCAACCGATAAAAAATATACTGATAATCCAACTGTTGTTACTGACCCATCGGTTGTTAAAGATCAATCGCTTCTTTTTAATTCAAAGTAATTTTTATTCTAAATTTTCAATATTTCATTTTTGTCTTTAAAAGATTCGGATCATTCTACAGAGGTCATGGACGTTTTAATACTCATCGTTTTCATATGGATACACCAGTATGTTTATTTCTTGTTTACTAAGTTTTATTACTATTTGATAATTTTTAGAAATATTTCCTACCAAAAGAAAATCAATCAAATTAATTTACTGAACAAAATGACTGTGATCAACTTTTTTTTCTATTCCTGCGTTATTTATTTCTTTCGACAATAAAACACATCTCGCTTTTTTCATATATATTATTCTTGCGAATCGGATTGTTAGTATAGAATAATAGCAAATGATCAATGCAATGACTGTTGTTAATAAATAAATCGTAGATTTCTTACGAAGAACGTGGGAGTAATAGTTTACAAATAACTTGATCATTCATACATCTGATTAAAGAGAAAAATGAAATAAATAAATAAATTAATATGAAAAATCAAACCCAGTAACAAATTCTTCTTTATTTAATTTTTTATCACCACTAATATCTAATTTAGCAATAATTTCTTTGGCACGTTTTTTTGGATCCCATTCACCTTTTTGATCTCTTATACCAGCACGTTCATACTATAACATAAAATATAAACTAATTTGTTTGAATAAAATAAATATTATTACCATAGCTGATAATAAATTAGTTAGTTCTTTTCGATCGATTTGTCCATCTTCTGAGTCATCCCATCTGAATTAAAATTAGGATCATAATTCAATAAATTAATCATAGGAAATATACTAACAAATCAAATACAAATGCAAGTCGTTTTTCTAAACTACCTAATTGATTTCTAATAGCAATTAATACAAGAAATTCATTAAAATCAATTGTACCATCATCATTAACATCAATTCGATCAAATAATTCTCTAAATATTATTTATAAAATAATAAAAATTTTGTAATTATAGTTTTACGCTGTTTTTTCTTCATCATGTGGATGTATTTTTGTATAATAATCAACAAATGCCTTTTTATCTAATTGACCTGATGGATATTCACGAAGAAAATCCTGTTAAACCTAATCGATTATTTCCAAATAGATATAATAACTATAATTTACCGTATGCCATTGTTGTATTTCTATATATTAAATAAAAAAATTTAAATTTATAAGAATAATTTGTTTTACCTTCTTGTGTAAACTGAGCATTTACTGAAAGTAAATCACATTCTAAAATGAATAATGAAATATATATTGTTTACGTGAAGAAATTTCACCTTTTGGAGTCAAATCCATATTTGTTCGATTTTTTTTAGGCATTATATTGTTTGTTAATAAGAAAAAAAGAACACTTGTCGTTAAATAATAAGTATCACTAAAACTTTTCAAGAGTAAAGTGCATAGAAAAATCAGAGAAAGAAATAAAGAAAGAAAAAATTTATAAATCATTGTTATATATACTTAAGCATTAAATATTAAAAGAATGAAAGAAAAAAAAGAAAACTAAGATCAATAAAATTTATGTGTGTAGAATAGATTTTAATATTAAATATCCCTCTTCAAATTTAGACAGTACTTCAACGTTAATTTTTGATAAGATTAATTTCATATAAAAACGATGTGAAATAGAATAATATTACATTTAATCTCATAGATATTTATTTTAGAGTAAAACCATATTTTTATCGAATTCTAGTCAAGTATTAGACTTTTTATCAATCTAAATTTCAAATTATAACATTTACTTGATTAAAATGTCCATTCTAATTAATTTATTTGAAATATATTCATTTTCATCATTTAGAATGCTATTTTATTCTTCTGTTCATGAATGCAATTGAGACTGTATTGAAAACAAGAAGATTTCTTGAATTTAAAAATGGTTACATGCTTGTAATGAATTCTAAATGTCTACTTATGAATATATATTTATTATTTACAAATATTTATTTTTTAGTAATATTTAATAAACGTAAAAAAACAGATAGATAGATAAAGAATAGTGAATATTTATTTGTTTTCTTCTTTACCTGAAAATTGCTAATCGAAGATCTAAGTGTCGAATGATTTGTTGATAAAATATTCTCATGAAATTCATGTTGTACTAAGAATTGAGGGTGTGGTTCACTTTTTCTTTACCCACACCGTCTATTGCGAGAAACAGAAGACAAAATTTTTAATTATAATAAATATATTAGTAATTACTTTTGAATTTCATTACTTATGTTAAATCAAATAAAAGTTAAAACAATGTATTGGATGAGTTTATCTTAAGCATCTAGATCATAACAGAAAATAGTTAACTCGATGAACTCTACGAATTATATAAATTTTATCAGAATCTGAATAATCATTTAAACTACAATTCAGCCAGTTAATTCAATATTCACTCTCATGGTTGTGATCTAAACAGCTAAGTTTAGTATTTTAGATTCATTTAAATCATCTCGAACAAAATCAATCTTATTTTGAGTTCGATTAATTCTTCAGGGTGTAGATCGATCTTGATATTACGAATATCTACTTGTATTACTATACTAACTGAACTATCTCTAGTTAATATGGAATAAATATGATTACTTTTATTATGTTTTGTCTACCCCTTCACTCTTTGTCAGTATATCTGCTTTTCAAAACAAATGAGTTATAACAATTTAAAATTGAAAACATAAAATATTATAATAAGATAGAGATACATCCTATTTATTAATTCAATCGATTTTGATGACCTTCTATAAATGAAGTAAAACAAATAAAAATACTTAGTAACATTCATGATCTACGACGGCAACCTGAAAAAAGCGCAATAATGCAAAATAGATAAAAGTAGAACGTTATTTATTAAATTGTTCATTATCGTATAGTTGTATATCTTCGTGTTTTTTCATAGACGACCGTTGACTATTGTTCATATTCGATCTCGGAATATATAAGATCTATTTCTATAACTTATAATGTGCTCTGTGACAGACCTAAGTGTGATGGTCATTAAAAAATGAGATATCATTGTAAAACATCTCTTCAAACAATTTCTCTCTTAGTCTGAATCCGAGATCAGAAGACTATAATTCATCATATCTTAAAAATGTCTAAATTGATCAATATATCATGAATAAGTGATTATTCTTTTATTATAGGGAACACTCATCAAGAATTAAAAATCTAAATATGTCTGAGATGGCCATTTATACACATACGTATGTAGATGTATTACCTTATCAGTCGGTTTTATACATCACGTCTGTATTATTTACAGAGTTGCTCTTTGTACGCACTCGCGAGCTACTGCAAACTAGAATTAATTTAGATATATTTGAGCAAAATGTTCTTGTGTTTATTTATCAACTATAGTTTATAATTTCTTTTTTACAGCTTCAATACTCTCTTTCACACTTTTAATACTAGGATGAGTTGGTGGCAATGTACGTTGTTTGATGTCCAGAGCACGTTCATAATATGAAAGTGCTTTCGAATAGTCCTTCATATTTTCATATACAAAACCGATGTTGTTGTATGAAGTAGCCGACAAAGGATGATTTGAAGGAAGAGTTTTTTGATAAATTTCAAGTGCTTTTTCGTAATATGAAAGTGCTTTCGTGTACTCTCCCTTGCTGTTATACACACTACCGATGTTGCTGTATGAAGTTGCCAAATCAGGATGATTTGAAGGAAGAGTCTTTTGACAGATTTCAAGGTCTTTTTCGTAATATGAAAGTGCTTTCGAGTACTCTCCCATCCTGGAATACACCAAACCGATGTTGTTGTATGATCTGGTCAATGAAGGATGATTTGAAGGAAGAGTTCTTCGCCAAATTTCAAGTGCTTTTTCATAAAATGAAAGTGCTTTCGTGTACTCTCCCACGTACTTATACATATTACCGATGTTGCTGTACGAAGTAGCCAACAAAGGATGATTCGAAGGAAGAGTTCTTTGTTGAATTACAAGTCCTTGTTCGTAAAATGAAAGTGCTTTCGAGTACTCTCTCAAGCTGTCATACACACTACCGATGTTGCTGTATGACGTGGCCAGATCAGGATGGTTTGAAGGAAGAGTTTTTTGTTTAATTACAAGTGCTTTTTCGTAATATGAAAGTGCTTTCGAGTACTCTCCCACGTAGTTATACACATTACCGATGGTGTTGTATGAAGTAGCCAAATGAGGATGGTTCAAAGGAAGAGTTTTTTTATCGATTTCAAGTGCTTTTTCGTAGTATGAAAGTGCTTTCGAATACTCTTCCATCTTTTCATACGCGTGAGCGATGTTGCTGTATGAAGTAGCCAATGAAGGATGATTTGAAGGAAGAGTTTTTTGTTTAATTTCAAGTGCTTTTTCATAAAATGAAAGTGCTTTCGAGTGCTCTCCCATGCCGTCAGACACACAACCGATGTTGTTGAATGAAAAAGCCAAATCAGGATGATTTGAAGGAAGAGTTTTTTGTTGAAGTTGAAGTACATGTTTGAAATACCAAATAGCTTTTACATAATCACCTTGACTCCAATGGACACCTCCAAGCTGATTATAATAATGCTCTTTTTCAACCTCATTAGATGTCTGTTCGAGTAATACGTTATAAAATTCTACAGCTTTATTATATTGACCAATATTTAGCAATAATTTACCTAATCTTTTCCATCCAGTAGTACCACCAGTTTCTTTTCGTATCCGATCATTAAGTAATCGTAATTGTTGATCATCATCTGATGTTAATTGTAATTCAACTTGATAAAGTTGATTCCTATTGTCCACTTGTTTAATTTCACTCACCCGAAAGACGGTGTGCATTGAGAAGAGAATTTCATTTTCTCCCTTAAAATAACTCACCTCTTTGATGGAAGCGAATGGTGTTGATTTCAAGCAAGGATCAATGGACATTATAAAGAAAATACCAACCGTATTTAGTTCTGTTGAAGCATCTCGAGCAAAACTGAGGGTCACTTCTTTAGCTGTACTGGTGGACAGGAAATTGTTAAAAGACATTAGTCCACCTTTTGCTTTCTGAAGTTTTTCAAAGTCTGACTTCATAAGACCTTGTCCTCTATAAACTAAAAAAGGTTTACGTCCATAACTACTGACCTGTTGTTTATGTAGCTGTTTAATTTGTTGATGTACATCACGAAGGAAGAAACCCATGTTAATGATTATATCGGCATCCATAAATCGAAGTGCTTTATTAAGCATTTTGTAGGTAAAACACTCACGTGTATACCACCATATTGCTTGTTGTGGATTATAGTCACGTTCGAATTCATCAATCAGTAGTAATTGAGCTTTGTCGTTCAAGTAAACTTGACGGCAACAAGTTGCCAAGTCTTTTATTGCCTTATCACTGAATTTAATATCAAGGAGAATCTCCTTGACTAGTTGAGTATACATAAAAGTTGGCTCCAACTGCTTTAAAGTGTCAGTTGAAGCCATTTCATTTACCGCGAGAAAACTTATGGGAATTGTGTCTTGGTTGTGTTGTTTAACCGCCATTTGTAATACCTGGCAAATTTCTTTGATGTTTGTGTGGACACCTTTGATTTTTGTCCAGTTTTGAGTCCATCCTTGATGTCTAGATTTGTCACCACAGAAGATGTAAATTGCATGTAACTGTGGTATGCCATGAATTGCAGGAACCAGATGTTGACCTAAGGAGCCTGATATTATCACGAAGACACGTTCCTTGTCAAACTTGCTGAGTACTTGGATGCACTGATCTGGTTCAGTGCATAAATTGATATGGCTGATCACGTTTTTCAATTGAGTGAGCGTGTCTTGGCATTCCTTTTTTCCTGCGTCGATGTTGGGATCTACCCAGATGAGAAGATAATCTGGGGCCATACGTTGTCGTTGTTGGTGAATATTGGATGATGCAGTAGCATTTTGATTCGATTTTGATTCGCTCATTCTGATCTTATTGTAATTTGTTGTAGAATGTGAACTTGTCAGTAGAAATTGTTGTTTGAATGAAAAGAAAGATCACTGTCCTTCTTTATATAGCCAGTGACTTGTTTTTCCTCGATTTTTCGGCGACTTCGAATGTTTGTATTTTGTCGTAGTCGCTCAAGGACAAACTCTGCGTAGTTACTTTTGAAAATACTATTCTGTACAGCAAAAAACACATAAAAAATTTGTTGTTAATGTTAGTGAAAGAACGAACAAAACTGACGCCAACAATAGGTAGAAAGAGAAACACAATTCTTTCGGTGAATTATTTTTTCTTTCACACTTTCTGTCAGGCATTATATTAATGTTTGATGAGTATATGAAATTTATAATGAAAAAATAAATAAAAGAAGATTTGTGATATTTTATACATAGAGCATCCTTTAAAGATTCTACTAATGAATGAGAAAAAACTGTAGACTCAACATCGGTGAAAGTAAGATTGAAGAGTTTTATCGAAAATAGTTTTTAAAAAACACAAAAATATTAAGAAAATTTTTCATACTTTGAGTGAAAAATACTATTGTTGAACAAAAATGTATTATTCTGTATTCTTAAAGGTAGAAATGACTGTTTCAACTGTTGACAGCAATTGAAAAAATTAATTTTTTTGTATAAAAAAGGTGTTGAAGAGCTATATACTTTATATGAGAAAGAGGCACATTGAATAAATTATCAAGTGATATATTACAGAAAGTAAGACAAAGCTTCTCTGGCAGATAGTCAGGTAAAAGTTTGTTCTTGCATTAAAATAAATAATTTGTGTAGTGATTTCTTTATCAGGTTATGTGCCGTTTATTGTTTTTTTTATAATTCAATGCAATATGGTTGATTTTGTTGTGATAAATAGTGTATATATATAGCAATAAAGATCATCAAAAGTGATTGAAAACGATATCTAGAAGAGTTGCAATAACGCCTTTAAACTCTAGAATTTTTATGGTTGTCAAATAATATTTACAGATGAATTATATTTTAAAACAGAACTCATACAAAACTTTTGTATCATTGATTTTAATTGATAAAAAAGAAGAAGCTGAATAAATATGGCAATAATCTTGCAACAGTATGCATGCATGCACCACTAGACTTATGCTCATCGCAAGTTATATAGCATGAAGACCTAGGAAGAAAAATACTGTGAAAAGTATTTTAAAAGAATTACGTATTGTATACAAGTGTTCTATATAAGACAAATAATTTCTTTTTGTTTAAATCTAAAAGTAAAACGTCATTATTAAGAATAGTCGTGTGCCTTCTTTTGATTTCTAATCGTTCCACAAAAAGAAGCTATATTGATGACCTATAGTTAGTCGTTTAAAATACAAATATAAAGAAACATTGATAAAAAAAAAGTGCATTGACAACGATGTAAACAAACGTTAATGCAAGTTTATTATTCTTGCCATTCTATTTTCGTCCTTGTATTTATAGTCACTTATCAGAAAGAAGAGAGAGTATGTAAAGAAATGAATTCAAAAAGAGAAGCAAAGTTGCCTATTATTCATTCCTTCTCACCGTTTGTCATTATAGTTTCATTGAATAGATGAGTTATTGTATGGAAAGCATGGTGAAAAATAGTCCGATGGCTTAAAAAGGTTACATTACGAAAGATTTTTAATTATCTAAAAAGATTCTTCTTATGTAAATCTTTTATTCTAATGGAAACTATTCTTTTTGGCACTCAAAAATATCTCTGACAAACATCTGTGTTTTCTAATTATTTCATATACGTGTATTTAAAAAAAATGTTTTTTTTTGTTCAATGTATTTGAAATGAATCTAAGTAACAAGGTAATGTGCTACTATGTTAAGGGTGGGTGTGGATATAAGTAAAGAAAAGATACATCCACATCACACCACCTTAATTTGAATGAAATCAGATTTGAATAATTTTTATTAAGAAGTATTTTCTACATCGAGTTGGATGAAAATTCTTGATAAGTCTTTGTTTATATAGGATAACTTCAACAGTTCTTTTTAATTATCAATCGACTGAATATGTTCAACTAACTAATCATGCTTGATGGTAGCTTTATAATTATCATCTAGTAAATAATTTTAATTTGTCATACATTTAAAGATTGAATTCACTTTCTTCGTGTTTGAAAAAACTATATATCATATTATTGAAAAAAAAAGATTTAGAGTGTTGATTACAACATGATATTCGATATATTTTATACTTACCAGAATTTAAAAAAATATTCTTTATTTGCTAAGGTAATATTACTATCTTTCAAAATATGATTTCATCACTTAGAATATGGTTAAAAAAAGTCTTTCATATATAAATATACATATGTATTCATTCATTTCTGGCGGCATTTAGAGTGTTTGTGTGGGCGTGGGTATTGAATTCTTACAATATCTACACACCCACACCCACATCCACCATCAAGATCAATTGAATGGTCCTAGTGGTTTATATTTTGATGATGAAGGAAATCTTTATGTTGCTAATGATTCGAATCATCGAATCGAAAAATTTGAATTAATCTTGTGAATGAAATTTTTGATTTTGAAAAAAAATCAACGAACTTTTTTTTTGTTAAATAAAAAATCGAAAAATAAAAATAAAAGAAAAATTGAAGTTTTACTGTTGAAAATAAATAACATAATCAGATAAAATTTTGCAGGGGCTGGTGGATGAGGATGTGGGTGTAGATTTGGTTGTCGTGTCGCTATCTACATTCACACCCTTATACTCATACACATAACTCTATTCGAATATCTTGTACACTTTTATTAACATCGATTTCTCGTACATCATTATTAAACTTATTGATTGTCATTCAATCATTGGTATACGTGTTATTTCTCATTTTTCTTTATTATATTTCATATTCGAAAGAAAATCGTATTTATTATCAAATCTTTTCTTTCCTTCGATTATTCAGATGAATATTTTCTCACGCTATCACAAAGTTTCGACCATGAATCTACGAATAATTCTTATCTTTTTTTTTATTTTGATTCGTTATGTCGTGGATAACTTTCTGTATAATATCTGTTGGGAGAAAGAAAAAAAAATAAGATTCGATATTCTGAAGACATTTTAATCTCACATGATTTTGAATTATTCTGTTCTTTAATCAATTTATAATGTTATTTCCAAAATAATGGAAATGATTCCAATTCTTGAAACTCCTAATGAATCTATTAGAAGAAGAAATGACAATCATCTTGAAAGCTTTAGTCTTATTTGGCTTAATAATCATGAAAATGTTGACATCCAAACAGAACTACGTAATATAATTAATCATATTGAAATATTTCATGATGTTGAAGAATGTAAAAATTATATTGAAAAAACATCAGAAAATGATCGATTAGTTCTTGTTACCAATGATGAATTCGGTCGACAAATTATTCCTTCAATTCATCAATTAAGACAAAGTGCATCAATTTATATCAACTCAGAAGATAAACAATGGACAAATGATTTTTCCAAGGTAAATAAAAAAGTATCAATAAAGTTTAGTTTCAATAATGATTTTTCTAGGTAAAAGGTATTCATGCTAAAATGGATGAACTGGTTTCACAAATCCATGAAGATCATAAAAATCTTCGAAAAATGGAAGAACCTGTATGGATGAATATGTTTACAACAATAAGTGATGCAGGAAAATCAACAACAGGAATCAATGGTCAGTTTGCATTTTCTCAATTACTACTTGATTGTCTTCTTCGGCTAAAATCAAATGAAAATGATCGAAATGAATTAATTTCATATTGTCAAAAAGAATATGAAGGAAATCAAAATGAATTAAATCGTCTTCATGAA